GTGCGAATTGGCAAAGGTGCGGTGATGACACGGAGACAATGCCTTCATTTTGCGCTGGGAATCTAATCCGGCTGGAAAGTACCCGTGGTTAGAGTTTAATCTTGTTTTTAATTCAGCCGTGCCACTTTCTCGACTGCCTACCGAACTGCTCAGCTCAAACGAGTGTTTATCTTGGAAATTGGACAGGTTGAGTAGAGAAAGAACGGGACGAAACTTAAAGTTTCGCGGAAGGCGGACTGTTTTCGCTCCCCGTCCTCGAAGAGGAACCACGGAACTTTAATGGGATGAAAACACCCCGTCGCGATTATAGGCAACGAGAAATTAAGGGTAAACAATTATAATAGTGCATATTTTATGGATATTTGTCATTTATCCTCCTCCCCCACGCTCAGTCTCGGTGATAGGTCAAAATGTCCAAAAGTGAATGTCTCGAGTAAAAAAATGACCAATATAAGAAAAATCCATGAGTAAAAAATGTTCGAGTACCTGGAATGTCCAGTAGCGGTCCATCGCCAAAATTAATAAAACTGCCCTAATGTCCGGTTATCGTGAGTCATAATTGGACTGCATTTTGCAATTCGGAACTATAAATTCTGGCCCGGTTTAAAAACAGCGTATGTGCCGTTAGTTTCCCTATGCACATAGGTGTTTTTCCAGAAGAGCCAGAATTTATAGTTCCAAATAGCAAAATGCAGGCCAATTAATATTACCATCTACTTGTTGGTAGAAATTCTACATACTTCCTCAGAGGGCATTTTTGTTCTCAGCCATAATACCGCTATATATATATATTATATTTGGACTTATTTTAGAAATTGACTTTTTTTATTTTGGACATTTTTGTACTTTCGACATTTATCTTTGGACATTTTGTCCTATTATCTTAGTTTTTGACTGTGTACGAGGACAAACCTCCGTAGTGCCGTCCACAGCAAAAACGCCGTAACTCCACTCAATATTTTGTATTTTCTTAGCACGTACAGTACGTACACCTATGTCGCGAAATAGTTGCTTGAAACGCTGTAGCACTTGGCGGCGCAGCGGGCGACCAGCGTGACACACGCATAGGCGCCTACAAACCTAACAGGGATACTTCACGCATTGCGCAACGCGTGAAGTATCCCGTTAGGCTTGTAGGCGCCAGTGCGCTGGCCGGGCCGGCCGTCCGCCGCGCCACAGCGCAGCGTGCCACGGCGGCGCCTCAAGCAACTATTTCACAACAATGGTGTTGCACTGTATTATACGAAATTGAAGGCACTCCAGGCTCAAATGGTTAAACTCGCGGAGTTAGCGTCTTTCGACTCATGATTTTGCAATGTTTGCACGCTCTGCGCGGATTAGTCTCTTTTAAATTGATGGAAAAAAAAATATGTATTAAAGGAAAATATGACGTGTGTTTTGAAATTATTAAGGTGGTTCCATCTCTAATTTAATGATTTCCAAAGCTTTTTAATTTTTCTTTTAAATTTTGTGCTTTTAACGTGCTGCAGCGTGGTGTATTCGCAACCAAACGCTCAAAATTGGACGTGTTTGACTGTAAAAGATCGATGTACGAATGGGTTAAAACCAAATATTGCGTCCTCCTTGGTTTTTTCTCTCTCTTTTTCATTTTTAGTGTATTTTCCGAAGGAAATACACTATTGCGTTCTCCCCTGATGTCAGACCTGGACCAAAGACCATGTAATGAGCATCGATCATGGGTCGTAGATTACGAATATGCATGCCGTTTGAATTCATGTTTATATATTTATATATATATATCTGCTTATTTATGTATGTATTTCCGACTCATCGTGGTTTTTCCGATTTTTGCTTGGTTATATTTCCCTCATTTTAAAAAATTTCCGGGTGAAACTTTTTGCGATGTAAAGTAGAGGAACAGGACTACCATTCTGCGAAAAAAAAAACGGAGATCAAAGTATTACATTTCGAATGGTGGGGGCGAGAAGTGGGGGGAGGTTCAATTTTGTGGGCGCGATAACTCGCGCAAATTAAAAGCTTTCCCCCCGAAATTTTTACAGAAGGAAGATCTTACTTAGTTCTAGGCTGGTATTGAATTTGAGCGAAATCGGTTGAGCCGTTTAAAAATGGCGAGCTTTGAAAGTTTTAGGCGGGGGGGGGGGGGGCAAAAGAGGAGGGAAGCCGCACAGTGGGTTACGGCCTGAAAATTGGTGGACAAGACGGCAATGTTGTCGCACATTGGGTCACGAACTGAAAGTTGGTGGACAAGACGGCAATGTTGTCGCACAGTGGGTTACACATTGATAATTGGTGGACAAGACGGCAATGTTGTCGCACAGTGGGTTATGGAGATTCATCCATCGTCATTCAAGCTTGCCACAGCGTTTGTTGACATTTTTTCATATCAGACATTACATGAGGATTGTTCTTGCCATCTGGCGACATGAAGTCCTTGTTCGAATAATCAATGCCTCCAACAGTGTAAACGTAAATCCAACCCCAAAGATTAATAACTCCCCGCCCCCGCCCCTCCCTTCGGAAAATACACTCTTCCCGCGGTGGACGCGCGGGTCACTTAAAAGACAGAACAACTGATGCCGGACACCCAAACTAAAAGCGCGCGTCCTGGGGGGGTTCGGGGGGGCGAAGCCCCCCCAAAAACCGGCGCGGAGCGAAGCGGAGCGCCGTTTTTGTATAGTTCCTTTCAACACAAGTACGGCTCATTGAGATTAATATCGATGCCATCGCTTGGAAAATGTTTTACAAATATTTGCCACGTTTTAAAAATATAACGTTTTTAAAATGAAGTAATGTTATCATTTAAAAAAAGGTGTATATATACGGTATATTTTAAACTGACAATTTTATAGATAGAAATAAAACCAAATATTCTCCAATGAAAATTTGAAAGATCAATCAAAAGAAGAAAGTAACATTTCATTTAAAAAATGAGTTACCATATAACAACACCTTCTTCTCTCTCAATCTTCTCATTGGATATTGTCAAAAAAAATTTACATACGGACTGAAATATATTCTTCGGACCAAGTCACTGTTTCTTATTTTACGCGTGGACGTAAATTACTGGACTAAACAGGTGCCCGGACAAAACATCGTCGACGGAATGTCCTGAAGCCCCTAATATTAGCCAGAAAAAGTAGTTGTGTCACAAAATACAATCCAGTTGTTTGAGAAAACTCGATAAAAACGCTTAGAAATTGTGTATTCGTGCACGACGATCTCTTCTCCATGGACAGTCACATTTTGCACAGATAAAGGCGCATCAATTAGGTCCAATTTCAGGAAAGAATATCGGTCTACGGCTCTTTTCCAGTCCGGAGCCGACGCGTTCAAAACTTTCCCCGTTCCAGAAGCAGACGAGGGAGATTGGAAAGTTAACGAAAGAGAGATAAATAAATCGAGCGAAATGAGGCTTTGAAGTGCTTACGTCAGATGTACTTTATTATTGACAATGTAGAACCGTGGAACGAGAAAAAAACGCGGATCCAGTGACGTAAGGACGTATCTTGATCCCACGTGAGCCTCAGAAAGCATAGATCTATATGTAAAATAGGGCTCACTTTGAAGTTGAGATACACCGTTAGGTTGGGAAGAAATCGGAGGCGGAGTGAGGAGAGGACGCTGACAAAATGAAAGGAAATCATACAAGGCTTTTCATATCGGACTAAGTTTTAAAGCACACATCGGGAGATGTTTACGATTGTTTTGAGGAGCCTTGGGAAGTTGGCTCGTAACTTTTAAGACATAACGGCGAAAAAAGCGACTCTTCCTTCCCCGTTGTCCGCATCACTTCGCAAGGAGAATAAATAAAGGTTACAAATTAAGGGGTCTTTAGTGAGAACCGCGTTTGGCGTGATAGACGCTCGATGCACATGCGTGGTTTTTGCTTGAGGAGATTGTCTTCTCCGCGATGTACCGAGGCTGAGAACTTGAATTTTCGGAGGGATCTTGCTCTCTCTGGTCCGCCGATTTTGAAGTTACGAATTTTCAGGCCCACGCGTGTTCGTGAAGTTGGGTTTGGGAAGGGGGCAACCCTTGAAATCAGAATGACAGAGTTGAAAACGTTTAATTAAATCGTCGCTTTTCATACGTGAGGGCGTATCTAGATTTTCGCCTACGTCCTGTTTCGCGTATAAATCCATGCTCTCTGGGGCTCGTGTAAAAATCGAGACACGCCCTTACGTCTGAAAAGTGACAAAATAAAAACTGGAGGTCTTTAGTAGCTCTCTACTCGGAGCATGAGTCCTATTGGTGTGATAAAAAATTTTAAAAACAATTTTACATAACTCACTCGCGGTAATCTCACCGCAAAAGATCATCATCAATTTCGCCCAAAAAGATTACCGCAGGTGAGTAACGGAAACATATTTTGAACACTTTTATCACAATTTGACTTATGGCGCCCCCCACCACGAAATTTCTATCCTATGGGTGTTTTTGTATCTAAAACTTTAGAATATTTACGGTAAAACCACAACACCACATTTCTCGGTCGAAGTTTTTCGATTCGCTCGTTTAATTTTTTTTTAAGGGTCTTGATCGACATTTTAATGTGAAATTTCTGGGAAATTGCGTCGACATGAACGTTACATTTGTTGCAAAGTGCAAAATTAAGAGGCAAGTAATCTAGACTGGAAAATTGCCTTCAAATGTTCATGTAGGCAATTTCACGACTTAGATATGTGCGAATAGTGGCTCAGCCAAAATAACCGACGGTACCTGTAGTTTGGCTCCCGTGTTTGTTCCTTTACCTCTGCATTTTCTCACAAATTTTCCATGTTTTGTGGTGTATATTTTCACATATAGAGAAACGTTTTAAAGGAAGAGGCACTCGATTTTCGAAAACTGAAGTTCCCCTAATTTTCTACAGTGTAGAAGTACCTTATATACTATGAAATAAAAAAATCACGTGTGTCAGTTTTTTTTTTCAAAATTTCTGCTCCTTTTATAATTTTTTAGGAGAAATTTATTTTTGTGTGTGCAAATATTGTAATTATTTCTATATTTCTTTGTTTCAGGAGACAATATTTAAGATCTAAAACTGCCAAAGGTCCCGTGAAGATTTTGCTCACCCCCGCAGACTTTGTCTTCCCAATTGTACAAGATGCGAATGGCGTAAGTATCAGGCTGAAAAATTCTTAAATTTGTCAATTATTTTTATTATCTAATTTTTATTAAATGTAGTGGGTTGATTCTTAAAACTAATAGACAAGGCTGTAGACATATAAGACACAAGAAAAACGGAGCGATCCTATTTTGCCGTGCTAAGGAAAAATGCCGAATGAACATTCGAGAGTTGCCTGCAAATTTCCTCCAATAAAATGCTTATTTTTTAGAAGATTTATCAATATTTCCTCTTTAAATTTAGATGATATATAGATGAAAATCCTCTGAAAAATTTAACGAAAAATATTCATAATTTTTCCTGAAAATTCGTATTTGATCATAGGAAATTTGGCAACTGACGAAGGTTCATACGGCGTTTTACCTTAGTGCGGCAGTATTAGTGAAACCTGTACTGATTTCACTTGTGGTTGTTATAGACTAAAAGGGAAAACGATGGACTAATCATAGGGTCTCTCGTGGGTTACCGTAAGTCAGTCTATCAATTCCTTCATTCTTTGTCCGTCGCCACCAATCGCCGAATTCCACCAATAGGGTCGCTCCATTTTCTTTTCGACTTTTTTATCTATCGCGTCGTCCATCGATTTCAATAATCAGCCCGCTGCTTCGCCAATTGGTTCCTTCCAGCTTAACTCGCACCTCTTTCCAAGAGGCGAGCATTGAGTAACTCGTTTAACGTTCAGTTGAGAGTCGCCTCACGTATGACTCTTTACGGAGCGACTGGCAATTAGCTAGGATGTGCATCCGTTACGGCGTGCGAATAATCCTCGTGAGATAATATTGTCGCTTGGCCGATAAAAGAGCGGAAGAACACTCAGAGATGAGCCCGGGAAAGCATAAAATCATATGGACGGTCGGGCTCATCGGGATGTGTAATTGCGTCTTTTTGTCAGGAAAACGACGATATAGTGACTAATCAACTGGAATTGCCGCTCGGTGGAATCGAGGAGCCGCGCGTGACTCAACGTCGACGCCTAAATAAGGAAAAACGCCTTAAGAGCATTCGGACGTTGCCTAATTTATCCTAGGATTATATTAATTTTTAATAAAAGTTGGGAATATTTTTCCCTCAAATTTTCAGACTCATTGGATAAAATTGCGAACGGTTACTCTGAAAAATCGGGCGAAAAAATAATCAGGTTCATAAATATTTCCGAAAATTCGTGATTTGTCGAAGGAAGTTTGGCAACGTCTGGGGGTTCATACGGCGTTCTTCTTAAGGGCGGCGGAATATCAGCCGTGAACTGATTTCCGCAGGTACACCGAGCTCACGCGTAGACTATATTTTTCATCGGCGCACAATGGATCGAGTCAATAGGAGAAAAAATATGGACAAATTATGGAAACTTTAAACGCTCATAACTCCGCTTATACAAAACTTTTGATGTTCTAAAAACGGTCCCATTGGTTTCCTCGTGAAATTTTCTTTAAAAGCACTCTTTAATTTTTAAAATGTGACGAAATTAACATACAAATTTGCAGTTTAGTAAAAAATTGTATGTCCAGCCTCTCTAATTGATTCGTCCCACTGTGCGGCGGAACCGTGCGCGAATAGCGAAAAGCTTGAGATATTCTTTTATGGAGTGCTGAAGGGACGACGGAGCGGAACAAGGATTCTGCCAGTGGCGTGGCGTGAATTGCGATGTATCGATTATTATGTCATTTAAAGGAGAAACGTCGTATGAACCTTCAGGCGTTGCTAACCTTCCTCTGATAAGACACGAATTTCCTGGTATTTTCCCTCCAATTGTTAAGAAAATTTTCTTCGCAAATTCACCGTAAGTCCCCGAAAATTTCAAGGAAAAATATTCATAACTTTCTCGGAAAAGAAACATTTTATCGAAGGAAATTTGGCAACTCTCGAATGTTCACACGGCTTTTTTTTAGCACGGCAGATTAAGGGATCAGAGATTCCTGGGATAGTCAAGTGCAGGAATGAGAACGTGAAACTTCATGAGAATAATCAGGAACAAGTCGATGGAATGTTGGAAAATATCAGGAAATCTACCGGGAATTATCGGGAAATTTTTCGTGCATTATCGGGGAAGTTTTCAGAAGCTCACATGGTAACTCTACAAAATGTGTGTGATACTTGTGTACGTCTGCATGGGTGTATAATTTTCGATCAAAGTTTCCGCTGGATACCTAGTAAATTTTAGCTGTGAATTCTTGAAAAATTCCCGAAAAATTTGCCTTTTAGATCCCTACCAACAACAGAATCGGGTTTTAGAAGAAGAAGAAGGAAGAGAAGAAAGAGTAGGAGAAGGAAAAAAAGAAGAGGAAGGTGGAGAGAAAAGAGGAAGGACAAGCAAAAAAGGAAGAAAAATACATTGAGGAAGAAGAAGGAAAAGATAATGAGGAAGAACAAAACATAACAAAAGAGGAGGAAGAGTAGGAGGGGAATGAAGCCAAGAGAGAAGAAGAAAAATGGAAAAAATGGGTCTGTTGCAAACTTTTGCTAGAGCAGAATGAAGAGTTGTTTCTTATAGATAATGCCTCAAACATCACGATGAGTGCATCGGCAAAGTCTGAAATGCACTCATAAATTCACAATCTGCGTAAGAAAATTGCGTTATTTTGAGCTTCCCGCTTCAAAAACGATACCACTGCACAGGTGAACATTTTGNCAACACTGGTAACGATAGGTAGGCAACAGTCGCTAGTGACGACACATCATGGTTGCAAAATCATCCTAAAATAATCAACATTTTTCTGCACAATTTTACAACACTGGTAACGATAGGTAGGCAACCCGCAACAGTCGCTAGTGACGTCACACCCGGGTCACGTGACATAGGTCCCGTCTTAAAGGTCAAGTCCCGAAACGATAGGTAGGCAACCCGCAACCAGTGATCTCACACCGGGGTCACGTAGCTCCCGACTTAAAGGTCAAATTTGTCGCAATATCCTCATATATACACTACTAATTTCAGACTTTGCCGATGCGCTCATCGTGATTTTTAGGGCATTATCTGTAAGAAACAACTCTTAGTTTTGCTCTAGCAAAAGTTTGCAACAGGCCCATTGGAGAAAAATGTATTTTTCTTCGTTTTTCTTTCACCTTGTCTAGTTTCTTTCTTCCTTGCTTTCAATCTTCTTCTTTTGTCTTCTCCTTCTTCCTCTCCGCATTGCTCTTCTCCTTTCTTTTATTCCCCTTTTTTCTTCCTTATCCTCATCCTCTCTTTCTTCTGCCTATTCTCATTTTCCCACACAGGGACATGTATTAGGAGTCCTAAGCTAATGCACATTTTGTCGCCTCGCTGACGTAAGGGCGTATAATAGTTTCAACGTGAGCCTTGTTTTACATATAAATCCATGCATTCTGGGGCTCATGCGGAAATTAACATACACCCTTACGTCACAGGAATGACGATTTAAATGACTACAAGTCCCCAGTATAAAGTTTTAAAAAACCCAAGTCTAATGAAACAAAGTTAAAACATGACAACCTTCAGCGCTGGCAGAACCCATGTCAGGAGACGGACTTGCAACGCTGCAATCGGAGGTACGTATTTCCGACCTCAGCCATCGATATATTTAAACGGACGAACCTCAATGTTACCGCCCTGCTTGCGAGAATTGGTGCTTCCTGTGAATTATAACAATCCCGCCGGATGCGGAAGGAAGCAAATGAGGGTAATAAGCTTAAAAATTCACTCCCGGAGCAAAACGCCAATTTGTCAGAGACCTCCTCTTAGCATTCACGGTAAATTGACAAGGGCAGCTCATCAGAGCCGCGTCTCTCCCTCGCTCCGAATCAATAATTCAAATCCTCCCTTGTCTTCCCGCTCGGGCCCGTGAGAAACTCCATTATGTATCATTACGTCTATAGGAATTTTTACGAGGCCATTTCGCCCCATAAAAACTTATTTTCCGCCCAGTTCTTCGGGATTTTATGACACTTATACTTATTTGATTTTTGTCTCGCCCGGGAAACACCGCGATAAAAGACTTTTGAATCTCCTCCACTCTCCTTTTTTTTATTCTTCGGCGTCCTATATTTTCTTACCTTACGCCCTTCCGGTCTTCTTCGAGGCGTCGGTCTCATTGAATTTTTATGATTCGGGAGTGTTTTGATTCCGGCCGCTCGGTATATTGGGTCATAGTCATTCTGCTCCCTCGCCCAGTAAACTTGTGACTTTAAAGAGACCGCATTCAGTAAAGTGGAAACGACTTTTTTTAGGGGATAGTCACATTGTTGATAACATTCGTCAGAGGTTTTCATGGACATATCGCCGAAAAAAAAACTGGACGGCGGACAGTGGATTGAGTCAATAGGAGAGGTCGGACAAAATTTGGAAACTTTAAAAGCTGATAACTCGATTCCAACAAAATTTTGAGGTTTTAAAAGTGGTTCCATTGGTTTCCCATGTGGAATTTTCTTCTTAAAGCATCCCTTAAAATTTGAAATGTGACAAAATCAACTTCAAAATTCTCAGTTTTATGAACAATTTCATGTCCGACCTCTCTGATTGACTCGATCCACTGTGCGTCGTTCAGCCATTCGGAACTTTATCTGTGAAGGAGTCGGGCAAAATTTACCACCTCAAGGAAATTCTTGTATATCACGGTTTTTTCATCTGTATGTTTACAAGAAAATGCATGTATATGTACAGAAAAAAAATTATTTACAAGAAAAATCTTGGTTAGCTACTAATTTTTGTAGAGAAATTTAGAAAGTTAGGGTATTAATGTCTTTACTGAATTAATGAAGAGTTGAGTAAAACTACAAAAATCCAGATTATTTACATAACTGGTATGACAAATTTTATGACAAAATTTTAGTTGAAAAAAAATTGTTGTATTTATACAAGAAAAGTTGTGTATATTTTCCGAGATTATACGTCTTGCTTATTTTTATATTCTAAAAAATTTCTTTGCGTATTTTTAAGACTATCTCACTCAAGTAATTATCCATGCATGTATGGACAACAAATATGAAACAAACTGTTTTTCAGTTTGTATAACCGATGTTTTCAATTCCATGATATCGACTCCATTACATTTTCTTGTAATTTATCGTTAACGAATTTCTACTTTTTAAAAACTCATTTCCGCACGTTGCGACAGGAGCGGAGACAAGCACCCCTTCCCCTTCCCACACAAGTTTTTTTTAATAGTTTTCTACCCCTCCTGAGTCATCGAGCCTTCGAAAAATGAACCCGAATCCGCTTCGGCAACAGCGCGATGCGATTATTCGCGGACCGGCGATTTGAATTAATAAGCTTAGCCAGGTCCGTTTCAATTTGTTTTTTATGACTCGCCGCGCGGGAAACCGCGCTACGGGCACAATAAACCGCTCCCTGTTTACACCCTCTTGTATTTTTCATATTTAATTTGTATCTTCCTCTCGTTTTGTCGTCCGTTTTTTCAACTCGCGCGTGCTCACGCATCAGAGGAGCGGCCTCCGGGCCCTCACTTTGTCGCTTTACTGACGCGAGGACGTATCTCAAATTCTACATGAGCCGCGGCAAGCATGGGTTTATACGTAAAACATGGCTCACAGGGAAATTGCTAAACGTTCTTAGGTCAGGATAAAACAGAGTCGGTGCTTTTGAAATGCGCATAGCGGATTCCAGGTCCGAAATCTACTTTTCTGTTGCACTATGTTATTTTCATGCTGACGAATAGGTAGGTTCGGCAATTTTACCGGCGAGGTGAATATTGCAATTGATAGATATCGATGTAGACAAATACATTAATGAGAAAGACATCCTTCAATTTTTTGATCCAGCTTTATAAAACGTCGATTCCCACACACTCTGGTCTTCAATCCCCCCCCCTCCCAAAAAAAAAAAAAAAAAAAAAAAAAAAAAAAATGCGACAAAAATGTTCCCAAAACGTTTTGCAGGGGGTGAGTCTGTGGTGCGCGTGGACTTCAAATCGCGAAAAATCAAACCTTGGCTGATCCTAACTTCGAGATATCGCAATTTGAAATTTTCATAGTAAATACAAGTTTTCTACTGATTTTGATCCGCTTTATTATTTATTTGTCCATTGATCGGTTCAAGTTCTTATTTTTCGTTCGATTCATGTCGATCGAATAAATATCCTCTCGTTACATGCAGACTATCTATCATACTCTTTTTTTTAATTGAGCAATTTGCCTTCTACTGCGTCTGCAGCAATTGTTGTTACGAATATGTTGTGCGTGCTGATTTCAGATCATTACATACTCGACTCTCTGAAGGCGTTTTATGTGCGCAAGTAGCGCAATCTTTCCAAGAATGATCGAAGTACAGATGAGCGATTCATTCAATCTTACTTCTGTTGTTCTCCAACAGGGTGCTCCACTTTCACGCACATAAAACGCCTTCAGAAAGTCAAGTATGTAATAAGCTGAGATCAGAACGCACAACATATTTGTAACATCAATTGCTACGGACGCAGCTGAAGGCGAATTAAAAACAACCGCATAACATAAATACACGTTGGAGAACATCTTAGCTCTTCAACTAATATGGTTACCAATAGAGAGTTGTATTTTATGATATTTTTATGGGGGATTCTCGAAAAAATTGTCAACATAAACTAAAACATATATTAAGATTAAATGCAAAATACAATATACCACACTACAAATTATCATTCTTGCTGGGAAGTTCAGTCTTTACCCAAGTCTTTAACCAAGACTGGAGAAGCGCCAACACCACAAAGCTCTGGAGCAAAAGAAAAATGCTACAAAAATGTTCCTAAAAATGGCTTGCAGGGGTCGAAGTACGTATAGCTTCTCAGTGCATCAAAAATTTAGTTTGGATACTTCAAAAGCTTTGCTCCGGCCGACATCCCAAAACGTCATTTCCATCAATGAATTCAGAACTTTCTTCTACATGCCTTATTATAGCATAGATTTTTAATGAATTAGAGGAATTATTGGTAATACTTCACAATGCTTTACTTAACTCTGCAAGTCTTCAACGTTTTTATGAAATGCAGGGCCTATGATTAACTAAGATTGAACGTATCACTGAATTGCAGGTTTTGGGACATTCCGTCAACGATTTTTTTGTCCGCAAACCTATTTTGTCAGTAATTTACGTCGACACGTAAAAGAAGCAACAGTGACTTATAAGTCCATATGTAAGACTAGTTTGACAGTATCGAAATGAGAAAACTGAGAGAGAGGGAGGAGTTGTTATGGTAACTCATTTTTCAAAATAAATTTTATATTCTTCTTTTGATTCATCTTTTCAAATTTTCATTGTCGAATATTCAGTTTTATTTCAATACTTAACATTTTTGATAAAATATATGCCTCTTTTACCTTTTTTTCTCTTTTTTTAAACGAAGTGGTTACTTAATTTTTGAAACATTTTCATCTTTAAAACGCGGCAAATATTTGTAAAACCTTTCCCAAGCGATGGCTTCGATATTAATCTCAATGAGCCGTAGTTGTGTTGAAAGAAACTATACAAACATTAATAAAAGAGGAAAAACCCCAAGAAACACGCATTCTTTGGTTTTAACCCAATTGTACATCAATCTTTTAGAGTCAAATGCGTCCAATTTTGAGCTTGTGGTTGCGCGCAAACCACGCTGCAGCACTATAAGAGCACAAAATTAGAAACTAATAATGAAAATGCTTTGAGAATCATGAAATTTGACACGGCACCACTTCAATAATTACTAAACACTCGTTATATTTTCCTTTAATACATTTTTTTTTTATCAATTCAAATAAGAATAATCCATGCAGAGTGAGCAAAGATTTCAAAATCATGACTTGGAAAATGCTGACCTCGCGAATTTAAACATCAGAGCTAAACACACAGCACAGCGGCGCGGCGTGCTGCTAGCGCGGAAGGCTCACTGGCCCCTACAAACCTAAGGGGATACTTCACGCAGTGCGCAATGCGTGAAGTATCCCCCTAGGTTTGTAGGCACCAGTGCGCGATGCGCGCTGAACGGTCGCCCGCCGCGCCACGCAGCAGCGTGCCACGGCGTCTCAAGCAGCAACGACACAACAATTGTGTTGCACTGTTTCATACGAAATTGATTGCGCTCCAACATACTAAAAATGACAGGCATCTTTTAAGATAACGGAGCTTTCCTTGTATATATCTAAAGTGCAATTAATATCTAAAGAGAACTACGAAAAAACACCGTGAACAACATGGGCGCAGATTTTGAAAAAATTGAAATATCAATGATTTCAACTAAAACTAGTCGCAATATATGTTCCTTCAAAAAACGCACCCTAATTCCAGTTTTTAAGCATAAAGAAATGATTTTGAACTTCCTTCCTCCTATGAGGCTCCATGTAATTCCGAACTTTAAACACGTATTTCTGGAAATAGCAAAAGCTGCTCTTATTAGCCTTGTCCGCCTAGCCTTTCGAATGTAGTTGCGTTGTCTCGTCAGGGAACGCGACGCAAAATCGAAGTCTTAAAACAAAATAACTAACTATTGTGCTTCGAGTTTTAGTTCCCGCACACGACCACATGTCAAAAGTATTTGCTCCAGCATGTGAGTATCGAATTATCTTCTCTAAAGTGTGGAATATGCGATTAGTTACAGGAGTTGGGGACAGGGAGCGCTTCGATCGCTGAGAAGCCGGATCTGCTGAAAGGCTCCGTGCTATCGCTGAAATCGCAGCAGACGCAGCAACGAAAAAGCAGCACCAGCTCTGTCAGCCTATCCCGACCTTTCATCGTAGACTCCAAAGCCAGATACAACGTAAGTCAAGTCTCAAGATTCATCAGCAACAGTTGTTAGTTGCATGACCATGGGGGTTATCGGGACGTAAAAGGTTTTGCATGGGAGAAACATAGTAGATGTTACTCACTTCAACTTATATTGGCCTCCTAAGGAGTTGTCTCTATGGATTACATTTTGCAAAAAGGAACCAGGATCATTGCAATGTTGCTAAAATTGTGCGACTTCATTTGTCTTGGAAGAAAAACCTGATAATCCATTAACAGTTTATATTTTACTCGCTGAAAACTGTAAATATAAGACAAAAATTACCATGAAAATTTCATATATTATCATGTTTTCAGTATTTTTATTGCAAGAGTGGCAATGCACAATCTTTCACAATTCTTTCACAATTGCACAATTCTTCTGGTTCCTTTTTGCAAAATGCATTCCAATTGGACGTATTTCTATCAAACAGAACTATGTGCATTGTTGCGTAAGCCCTGTTATGCATATATTGTTATGGGTCTCAGGGCTCATGTCTTAATGCACATAGTTCTCTTTGGCAGAAATACGTCCAATTACGGAGCTCTAAAGGGGGAGGGGGGTCGAGGAGAGCGTTACGCCATTTTGTTTTTACGTGTTAAAGGATAGGGACCTACGTCACAAAAGCGTTAGAAGGAGAGGGAGGGTCAGAAATGCCGAAAAAGTGCGTTACGCAATTCAGGGATGGTCCATAACTGAAAGACTAAAACGCTTTTTATCACTTTTAACTGTCAATAAATAAAAATCATGAAATGACCTGAAACGCTGTGCTTAACTAAGAAAAACGATGTATGAACATTTGAGAGTTCCTGAATTTCCTCCGACTAAAATTAATTTCCGAAGAGGATTATGAATATTTTACCCTGAAATTTTCAGATACTTTAGATTAATTTGCGAATGAAATTCTGTGAAAAAGTTGGAGAAAATTATTCACAAGTTTTCCATCGAATTTGCATTTTATTGAGGGGAATTAGGCGACGCCTGCAGGCTCATGCGGCGTTTTTCCTTAGCACGGCAGTGACATATGTCGGTCTTCAATTGGCATGCTTCAGCATTGGCGTTGCCAAAAAAATTGCATTCGGGAGGGAGGGACTTTAACGGTGAAAGATTCTCACGAGTGGTTCCGTGGTAAAACATTCCTGGAAATCAAGAGAAATAACTTTTTTTTTCAGAGGAAATTGTTTCAATTATAGAGGGGAGGCTCCAGACGCCCCGGACTACTCTCTTGGGCAGTGGCGTGGCGTGCTTTGCGATATATCGATTGATCGGTCATTTAAACGTATGGAAAAGTATCGATAAACAGAGTGTTCGCAGCGAACGCCTTAATAATCGATTATTTACCACAGCTTCGAATGGGGAAATATCGATAGATCGCAAAGCACGCCACGCCACCGCTCTTGGGCTACATACGCCACTGCGGCAATCGCAAATCGGCGATGTAAGTCGGCAATCACATAACTTGGTTTGCGACGTCGCAGACATCCTATCATACTTTATTTTTTAAACGGAAAACTACCGAACGGCAATTCTTCAAAACTGTCGTGATTTTTCCTCTCTATGCGAAGAAAATTCTGCAAAAACTGCAAGGAATAATGTCAATTTGTTCTTTTAAAAAAAAATAACACAGAGGCTGAGATTTTCAGACACCGTAAACGAGATATGAGATTGCCAACTGACACCGTCGAAATGTGCTAAATTTCAGGTCATTGTCATTATTTAGTCAAATTCATGCTGTGTCCGAGTTCTGTCAAATACCGCATGCATGATACGTCATTTCGCTCTGTCGCTCCTCTGACGTGAGGGCGTATTTCTATGTCTACATGAACCACGGAAAGCGTAGAATCATACGAAAAATACGGCTCACGTGAAAATTGAGATACGTTCTTACGTCATAGCAGCTACGATTTTAGAACCACAGCGTTCAACCGTATATGAACCACTCAGATCTTATACCCTACGTCGTTGACACACAGTGGATCGAATCAATTAGAGAGGTCGGGCATGAAATTTTTAACTAAAACTATAAATTTTGATGTTTATTTTGTCATATTTTAAATTTTAAGGGGTGCCTCCAGAAGAAAATTTCACGAGGAAACCATTGGAACTACTTTTATAAAACCTCCAAATTTGGTTTAAACGGAGTTATAAACTTTGAAAGTTTCCAAATTTTGTCCGACCTTTCCTATTGACTCGATCCACTTTGCGACCCAAATATTATCCTCTTATTCTGTCCATTTCATCTTTCCTATTTCTCCTCTCATCCTTGTATCTCCCTTAGTGCCCTTTTTTGCGAAATAAGAACCTTACATTGCACAAAAAAACTCGCATTTGCCGACTATCTTCACCGCACTATAGCTTCATGAAATGTTAATCATGACTCTCCGCGTGCACAGTTAAATTTACAACAGACTTGAATTTCTCCTTCACGTTAATGTTCAGACGAACGAAGCAAAACTGACATCTCTGTGTTGAGATTTGTTTCATACTCAGGACCGCGAGTTCATATTTCACCTGCTGGTCAACTTGTCAGGTCGACTGGTAAGAGAGCGTTGCCAAATTTCCATTGAAAACCAACAAATGGACCGCCAAACAAGCTACGAGGTTAAGCATTCTGATACATAAATCTTTCCCAAAATGTCATACAGAACAGGATTCGCGCAACGAAAATGACTGAAATTAACATGTGGATTCAAACCTCCCGCTCATGAAAACGCAATGATCTACGTGAGTCAAATCGCACACTAAACGTTATCGTGGCAGTCTCTGCGACACAAAAATATGGCGACCTCTATCTTGAATTTGACTCAGCTATAGCAAATTGCTTACAGTATGAACAATAAAGGATGGGAAAGGAACGATGCTCGATTGAGAAGCCTTCCAAAACCGTTGTTAGGCGTGATTTTGGCAATTCAAATTTTCCGTAACCAATGCAAAATAAAAACTTCATTATCTTATTTAGGCGTTGATTTCAGTAATTTTAAATGCAAGAATCGTCTTTCCGTTAAATTCTGGCTAAGAATCATGAAGCAGAATGCTTAAATTCGTACCTTGTCTAGTGGTCCATTCGCAACGAAAGAACGTAATTATAAATAACAAGCATGAACAAAAAATTGGAGTGAAGGCAGATTTGCAATGTTTCATTGGGTTGGTGCTTTCCAAGTGAACTGAGAACATATACTTTGTTCAATTTTTTTTAAATGATACTCCTTATGTGCTTCAGAATAATTATATTTGCAGGAACTTTTTTTATTAAAAAAAAAAAAAAAAATTCTTAAAATTCAGGATTTTTCAGTAATTTGATCAATCATCAAATCGTCCCCATCAATGATCAGTACGAGCCAACATGGGGTAACTAAAGTGAGCTGAAGCAAATTTTTGAATTTGGGGGAAAACCCGGGTTGATTTAATTCATTTGCAACTATGCAATCAAACAAAATTAATTCAAGTCAAACATCTCGGGATCCCGGGGAAGAGCAAGAGAGGCAAATAGGGTGAAATAATTTGAAGGGCAAAATCGCGATAATGGAGTAGAAATGAAGTTCAAAGCAACAAAGTAGAATGAAATTAATAAGCACGGCAAAAAAGTTAGATTGAAGTGGAACAGCGAGGAAGCACCCTGCCTTGCTAAGGTAGAACGCCGTACGAACACTCGAGAGTTGCCAAATTTCCTTCGATAAAATGTTTCTTTTCCAGGAAATTTATGAATAATTTCCCTTGAAATTTTCGGGAACTTTAGGTGAAAATGCGAACTAAATTATCTGGAAAATTGGAAGGAAAATATTCATAAGTTCACCAGGGAATTCATGTTTTATTAAAGGAAATTTGGCAACGCCTGAAGGCTCATACGGCGTTTCTCCTCAGCAAGGCGGTACTCGTCTCGGCGCTTGAGGAAGAAGAAAAATACGAGGAAGAAAAGTTGATGGTGTTTATTCGGACGGGATGGCTCTCTTTTGGACGTATTTACGCTAAAAGGAACTAAGTGCATAGGGATTGCGCGTGACATAGTTCCTTTTAGCACGAATGCGTTCTTTTAAGGAGACGGGTGGCGGACGAACGGGTTTCGTTCGAGGAGTCTGTCTTGGGCGAGCTTCATTTGCAAAGCTTGACTCTCGCGAAAAACCGAGAGCTCTGAAGAATGGTCCCCATCAGCGATTCAATTTGAGAACTTTGAAATAGAAAATGAGGGCCTTTGCGAGGACAAACGGTCAGAGCGCGGTGAATTCGTCGCCCAAGTCAGACAAGGGCGAGATTATTTCATTGTGGCACAGGGCGACCCGTAAGTTGGCGGGTTACTATCAACTTAGTACTCGCAACAGGAGAAAAAAGACTTGAACACTGGAAAAAAAAACACACATTGGATCTAGATTCCAGACTCTTGAAAACATCGACAAGAAAAAGTACTCTTGATTCAATCAGAATCTAGCTTAAATCAAGATCCAAGCCTCTTAATTCAAGCGGATTTCGTTTTGATTCAAGAAAAAATCCGATTGAATCAAGAGTATTTTTTTCTTGTCGATGTTTTCAAGAGTCTGGACTCTAGATCCAATGTGTTTTTTCCAGTGAACGATAATATTGACTACATTTTGTAATTAGGAGCTTCAGTATTTGGTTCATTTTTAGGAACAGCACGTGTGTCGTTAATTTCCATACGCAGATAGGTGATTCGATGGATAAGTTGGAAATCTTGGTTCCTATAATAGCGAAATGCCGTGTTTATACTATTGTATTACAGCTTTTGAATATCTCAACCTCCCTGCTTAATCACAATGTGATCTATAGAGGTCCTCCCGAAGAAAAATGACTGATTGAGGAACGTATGTAATAAGAACTTAGTCATTTATGCAAGAAGATTTTGATATTCAAGCACCTTCAATTAGCCGTATATGCAATATGACTCCTTGGAAGTAGGTTTAGTTGCTTTGCAGCATTGCAGGCGTACTACGCGCCCGGTTATTCTTTTCTAATTTATTTCGAAAAATAGTCATTATCATTTTAGACTACCATAACTTTTTTGATCGTAATAATCATGGTGTAATTTCCATAATTTTTATACGTTCGCTCTGTAAAATGTATATACTTTATTTACCAACAAATGAAAATCTCACAGAATCAATTGGAAAAATGAACAATTCGAATTCAACATAAACTTATATTGAAATATTTCAAGACATGGATCTTCAATAAAACGACGAATACACGGCTGCAAATTACGATGTCCCATAGTCGTCTGAGCTACACCAAAAATTTACCAAACAAAGAATTGTGGGTTGAATAATACCAAATTTTTTAATGTGAAACTTCTCGTCATTTTTCTACGCTTTGGGTAAAATTATGGCATTGTTCACGAATTGCGAATTCCCGGATTTCGATAACATAGAAGGTGATGTATGTTGAACAGTCGTCTATTCGTCATCCGTGTAGTATCTGTGTATTATCTTTATAGTATCTGTATATTATCTGTATAGTATCTGTATAGTATCCGTGTATATGTGTCTCTGACTCAATCTAACCCAACATCTGTATTGTCGAACTTAACAATTTAACATTGAGCACAATCATGATTGACTTTTTTGAAAAAAAGTTTCGGCCTATATTAGACATATCGTCCGTTCCGAGATCTAAGGTCGAAAGTTCCGGGTGCCAGAGCTGTAGCTTCGAATGCTCCGGGTGCCACACCCAGAACTTTCGGCCTCTGAACACGGGCGGCATGTCTATAATAGCAGTTGTAAGTACGGCTTTCACTGCTTGGAGTGGCACATCCTGCCTATGCCGGAGTTTTTTGTTTAGTGAGTTCAAACGATAATTTTGTGATAAAAAAAATATTTTGGCATCACTGACCATGCTCACCACCTTGGTTAAACCTCACTAGGGTAACTTTGAATTCAAGTGGATACTCGCCAAAAATGGACAGTCCGTTAATCCAGATCGTTCAAAATCAAATGTTTTTAAATGGGCGACGCCGTCGTTGTTAGTCTGCGGCTCCTTGAATTTTAGTCAGTTGTTTAAAGTTTTATGGATTTAATCAGCATTTTGGCGCCTCGATCTTTGGCTTTCTAAAATTTCGGTAATATATCGGTAGGCTCTCGAGAAATTCAGCTCTAAAATCGGATAAAATTCTCCCGATTTTTCGCTTATGGACGTGTTTTCACGCGCTTTAGCTTCAAACCGCGTGACCAATCAGAGAATTGGTGGTCCATATTTGATTGGTTGATCGCTTCTCCGCATAAGACGGGAATGCGAGGACCCGCTTTGATTCTAGGTTACCCTAAACCTCACACGAGGGGCTTGGAGGATAAGGCGCATAAGTGCAGTTTTTGAAAAAAAATGAGATATCAATAATTTCAAGTAAAACTAGTCTCAATGCACATTCTGTCAAAAATTCGTTTCCAAACTCTACTTTTTAAGCACTAAAAAGTCAGTTTGAACTTTTCCGCCATAAAGCTTCATGTAATTTCGAAACTTCAAACACGTATCCTCGAAATAGCAAAAACAGCACTTGCGCGCCTTGTCCTCTGAGCCCCTCACATAAAAGAAGTCAAAAAATCAACCAAGAGGAAATAATGCACTAGATTTTCGCAACCTCCGAAAATGCGAAAATATCCTTTCGAAACACCCAGTTGGATCCGAAAAGGCTCTGATTAAAGGGTAAACGCTACGGCTGCTAGAGGGATAATTTCAGCGCAGTTTTATCTCTCTTTTTCCGCAGGGGGATCTGGTGCAATTAAAAGAACTTCCAGTGCAAGGAGGGACTTTCGAGCTCAAAAGCAAGGCCCTGGATCTCCTCGTTCTGGTGAGTGCAACAAATCCTCCAGCTTTTTTCTCTCCTTCGCTCATTCCACCTCATTTTCGCAGTGGCGTGGCGTGCTTTGCGATATATCGATTGATCTGCCATTTAAACCCACGGTAAAGGATCGATAAACAGGGTGCACCTTAATAATCGATTCTTTACCTTAGCTTCAAATGGGGAAATATCGATAATCGATCATTCACGCCTCGCCACTGCATTTTAATCCCTGTCTGGCGCCCGAAGGGAAATAGAATTAAGAAAAACTTGACACCTGTTGCACGGATCTTCGTGTATTCAGTCTGGTCGTTTCACCATTGAAACTAATAATACACAAATGAGTTAGATTCAAATCTTTAAGAATGAATTTCAAAACTTTCTCACTAATAAAATAGATGGAAAGCGGAGGGCGCGGAATGAAGAAAATAAGAGTAACTTTTTATAACAAAGATATCAAGCATTGCTATAGGGTGTCCCGAAGTTAAATGCATTTTTCTAGAATCAATGTTTAATATTTAAATAAGATTTTTTCTTTGTTTTGTAACGTTTTCCCAAAAAAACCCTCCTTTTGAAAATCTAATTCCATCTATAGAAGCTCTCTATCAAGTGTCATTTTGGTTTTTTTTTAGTCAGAAATGTATTCAGCTATGAACGAACATGGATTTGTCAATTTTTATACATTTTTATTCATAATTGGTCTTTATTTTCTAATTAGAAACTACGATTACTGGCTCATTCATAATCAAATTTGTATTGGAAAACCAATGGTACATACATTGTTTCTGAACTGAGCTAGAAATTGTAGTTCAAAATATTAGCAAAGTTCCAAATGTAGTTCCAATTGTAGCAAAATGTAATCCAAGTGTCGTCACAATAAAACAAACTATTCAAACGATAAAATCAGGTTGTTTATCTTCGAAAAGCAAAACAAGAGCGAAAATCTTAGAACTTTGTAATGGTTGATACGTGGTTCCACACTTTGACCATCGATTTCTAGAGAAATGACGCTAGAAAGAACTTTTATGTATAAAAATTGCACACATCTGAAAAATAATCGCTGATTTCCGAGTGAGAAGTTAGCAGCGTGACGTAGTAGTTTTCCCTCGAAATCTTCACTGAGGATTCACCTTAAACCTCTTTTAATAGCCCAGTTTATGCGAAAGCGCGAAACTGCAAGACGTGATTCAAAGACGGTCTGTTCTGAATTTTCGAACTCTCATATTTCACCGAGGCTAGAGTCAACCCTGCTATGAAGAACCACCTCACGAGCATTCGAATGCTGCCAAATTTACCTTGATTAAGTTCATTTTTTACTAAACTCATGAATGTTTCTCTATGAAGTATGCAGATCTAATGGATTGCTCTGATAATTATTGTACTTCATAAAAAAAAAATTGAATTCTATTACAGACATGGCAGTCAACTAGTATTCGTAATTGATAATAATATTAAGAATCATAGTTCGTTCGTGCACATGGTTTTCATCATGAGAAAGCATCTCGTGCTGAAAAGGTAGCTAGGAACTCATGCTTTTTTCGGTGAATTAGATATTTAAATGTTCAATGAAGATATCAAAAGAGCACTGGACCATGAGACAAGGAACCAAGTTAAACATTCTGATACATGTTTGTTTCCCTAAATTTCACGTAGAACACGATTCGCGCAACGAAAACTATTGAAATTAAGATATTTAATATTTCTTGACGTGTTAATTCAAATCTCCCGCTCACGACAACGCAATGGTCTACGTGAGTCAAGTCGCACACTGAAAGATATGGTGTGGCAGTCTCCGCGATACGATAATAGGGCGATCTCAATCTTTACGCTTTGGCTCAGCTGTAGCAAATTGCTTACACTTTGAACAATAATGGTGAGAAAGGAACGATGTTCGATTGAAAAGCTTGCCAAAATCGTTGTCGTGTTGATTTGACTCGCATAGAGCATAGAGCGTGACCGGGGAATTCGAAATTGCCGTAACCAATGTAAAATGTATGTTTGTATAAGCCGTTTTTACGGCGCTCTAGGGCGCTCTGCGACGCCTACCCGCCATAGGAGTCTGTCATGGTAGAGATCCTCCGGAAGCTGGCATCTTTCCATCTCTTCACGGGTGTCCTCTACCCACCGTTTGGCTTGACGCCCTCCCCGTCGTCTGCCTGGGGGGGGGGGACCCACTCCATGGATTTTACCAATGTAAAATAAAAACGCTAATTTCTTAGTCAGGAGTTGACTTCGTTAATGGAGAAGTTGCATGTGTAAGGAATTTGCGATTTGACTATTGATTCTTATGTAAAAGTTCGCGAGAAACACGATGGTGCCACTGGTTTTTTCTGAAATCAATTCTCAAGCTCAAAAATAGCTCTCAAGTTGAGGCCAAAATAGAGGGGATATCCCGCGCTATCCTGAGAGTCCACGTCTACATCAAGACAAACTCTCCATGCAAAGATAGGGAGCAAATACATTGACAAGGCTGTCACTTTATTTGGGAACTCTAAAACTGAAAACACGGCATCACTGCTAGTGTATTTGCTCCCTATCTTTGCATGGACCGTGGAGAGTTTGTCTTGATGTATAGGTGGACTCTCAGGGTAGGGTGGGATATCCCCTCCATTTTGGCTTAAACTTGAGAGCTTTTTTTAGTGTGGGAGTTGATTTCAGAGGAAACCAGTGGCACCATCGTGTTTCTCGCGAACTTTTACATAAGAATCAATAGTCAAATCGTAAATTCCTCACACTTGCAACATCTCCACTTTCGGTGCCATTCCTACGTGAAATTCTAATTTAGAAACATGTATTAGAATGTTGAAATTCGTACTTTCTGTAGTAGTGCCTCGATGCATCCATCCTCTTAGAACAGTCTTCCGTCGAAAACTCAACTTCTGAAAATTTGGCGGCCACGCCTTCCTTCAAATAATCCGTTCAATTGCGTTTAATTTGGCAACAACCGATGATTGATACGTCGTTTCTCCTCAGCGCGGCCGGAGCGAGCGCGAGAGTCTTATTAAAAACAAAGTTTTTCCTTCTCCGCGATAAGAATCTCTCGGCGGGCAGTGACAGATCACGAGCGTCCAAGTTTCCACCGGGTCGAAGGTGAAAACTTGGAAATGAAATCAACGCGACGTTGCCGTTTCGACCCCCGCGAAAACGGTTTCCTCACTGAGAATCCGCACGATTCGGCAACGGTGCGGCTGGGAGCACGGCTGGGTGGGCGCGCTGTCGCGAACTTCCGCGCGCAAAAAACAAACCGGGCGGAATTCCCCGCTGATTAAATTATAAACCAACAAAGCGCTCGGGTTTCGATTTCGCGCCAACTTCGATTCGTGCCCCGCGAGTTGATCGCCTTAAATTTTTAAACCCCCCGGGGGACTGGGGTGAAGCGGGGGCGGGACGACACGACCCCCCATCCCCCCCCCCCCCGAGCCGCGGATCCTTCGGAACGCGACGTCCTTTTCATTTGTCAAATAAGTTTCGATTGCTGACTGGAATACTATGCGGAAACGTCGTATGAACAACCGAATGTTGCCAGATTGCCGTTTATAAAACGTTTTATTTTTGAGGGGATTTATGAATATTTTCCTTTGAAATTTGCAGATACTGGAGATTAAATTGCGAGAGAAATTTTCTGGAAATTCGGGAGAAAAATTTCCACAAGTTTCCTTGGAAATATGTTTTTTATCAGGAGAATTTTGGCAACGTCTGATGGCTCATACGGCGTTTTTCCTTAGCGTGGTGGAATAGAAGGGAGCCGGAAATTGTATTGCGAAGGTATCGGAGGAGCGCTCGGAGTTTGATGAGGGTTAAAGTTGGATCCTCTGCAGCTTTGGCGTAACGCGTTCAGGATATACGATCGCTAAACTTCAGATTTCAACTATCAGGTGGATTATTTTTAAAAAATCAAAAGTTCAGGCTCGAGATCAATCATCATTTAGAATTGTATTCACCGTTGATATTTTTCCTTAGGGAGGTTTACAGTGTGATTAAGGAAGGTTAAGAACGGCCCTAGAAATAGCATAATAAAAAGGGCAATTCGTTTTGCAAACCGCGAATAATCCTCAGCAGTATTACTTTGAAAGTGGGTCCTTGAAAGGAATCACAATGATTTACCACTGCAAAAAGTACAAGATACGAAATAAAATGGACCGCGTTAAACAGAAAGGAACCAAGCCACATCAGCTATTGCCAAATTTAACAGGGAGATTTCATTTTTTACGAGAGAACATCTGTGCGGATTCCTTTGAAATTTTTAAGGAATTTGCCTTGTATTATGGAGAAAATTCACTGAAATTCGCACAAAAATCTGCACAACCATTTTCATGTAAAAACCTAAATTGCCCGATTAAATTTGGCAATAGCTGATGTGGCTTGGTTCTTTTCTGTTTAACTTGGTCCAAATGTATCGCGAGTTTTGTGAATCCTAAGTTAGTTCCGCACCTACCTCAAAGTTTGTCAAAATCATAAAATTTTGTCCTTCATATTTTGCACTTTTTGCAGTGGCAAATAATCGTGATCGTTTTCAATGACCCATTTTCATAGTCACACTGCTGAATTTTATTCTAGTTTAGGAAGAATATTTTGGTATGGTAACGCTCAACAACCAACTAGGTTTTGAAGTAAATATTTTAATTTATTGCTCAGACATTACAACTCAAAGAGGAAGGTATCACCGTAATTAACCGACAAAACTCGGTGAATGGACTCGACTTTTCCCCAAAAAGAAAAATTCTTACCCTATATCTCTAAGTATCTTTACAGTAATGAATAATTTAAAATAAATTTAATTAAAGAATGTATTACAAGTTCCATGTTTTATTTGGATTTTTGATGAGTTACCATGTCTGATGGTCCATTCTATTAATACAGACTCCTCGCAAGGCAGGAAAAAATTAAGAATTAACAGAATAAAGAGAGAAAGATTAGGGAGGGGAAGTTACTTTCGGAGCTTGGAGGATAAAATTACGCTTTCGCAAGCAGCTAGGATTAGCCTGGCGAGCGCATTATCAAAAGAACGT